AGTCGATTCCTCCAATTTTTCCTATCCAACTATTAGGGTTTGTTTTTCAAGTTCAAGGTCGTTGCCGTCTTTCGGTCGCAAAGACAGAGGGTATTCTCCATATCTAGCTTATTTTTTTTTTATTAGAATCTAATAGTTCTTGATTGTGGTAGAGGTATACGATTGCATGCGTTGTGGTTGAATTCTATGTGATTTTTGACTGATTATTTGAACTCAAAAATGGTGAACGTCGTTGATGTGTCTACATCTACTAATTCCTCTGTTAGTTTCATCCCTGATCCTTCAAATCCACTTTTTCTTCTGTCTTCTGATGTTCCAGGGGTTGCTCTTGTCAGTACACCCTTTTCTGGAACTGGATTTGGGGGTTGAAGACGGAATATGATTGTTTTCCTTTCTGCTAGAAATAAGATAGGTTTCATTGACGGAACAATTGTTAAACCTCCTGAAAATTCCCCTCAATTTAGGCAATGGGATAGGTGTAACAATATGGTCATCTCTTGGTTGACCAACTCCCTTACACCAGACATAGCTGAAAGTGTTCAATATTCTGACACTGCCCAAAGCATTTGGACTCAACTTAATAAAAGGTATGGTATTGTAAATGGAACCAAGGTCTTTGAGATAAAACAAGAGTTAGCTTTCACCAGGGGTCTCTAGACATAACATCTTACTTCAGCAGACTCTAGAAATTGTGGGATAAATTGGGTTTCATGCGTGCCTCTCGTGGTAGCTCTAGCATATGTGCTACTAAATCTGAGCTTCAAAGAGAGGATGATGAAAAAAAAGTTGCATCAGTTTCTCATGGGGATTAATGAGACTTATGTTGGAGTTAGGAGTAATCTGCTCATGATACAACCCCCTCCATCTCTAGACACTGCCTACAACATCTTGCTTCAGGATAAAAGACAAAGACTAGTGTCCTCACCAACCCAATTCCGTATTGATTCTGTTTATTTCAATGCCCATCTCACTGACAAATTCTCAGGGACACCTGCCCCTCCCAAACAGTTCATTCAAAGAGTCAATTTTAGGTATAACAAGTCAAATCTAGTGTGTAGGTATTGTAAGAAACTCAGGCATTTGGTTGACAAATGCTATAAGCTCCATGGCTTTCCACCAGACTTCAAGTTTACCAAGGGAAAATAGATTATTTCAAATGTTGAGGTGCAGGGCCTTCAAAATTCTGCTGGTCATCAGAATTCTGCTGAAGTTTCTCACTCTCCATCTGATGGGTCTTCTGATTCAGAGTCTATAATCCCTGGGTTAACTAAGGATAAATATTCCCAACTCAGGATGCTGCTTCAGCAAACACAAATTTCAGAATCACAACCCCACTCCAGCCTCATGGCATCTGCTAACTTTGCTGGTATTCTCTCTTCACCCAGTTGTATGAAAAATGTATCTTATGGTGCTTGCATGCTGACTAAAATAAATGAATGCATTTGGATTATAGACTCTGGGGCAACTAACCCCATGACCTCCAATAAAGACCTTTTTGATATTAAACCCTTAATCGGACCATACTTAGTCACCTTACTAAATGGTTATAAGGTTAAGGTAACTTGTATCAGATTCATTCAATTTCTTTGTTTCACATAGCATCATGTCCTTTATATTCCTAGCTTTCATTACAATCTTATCTATGTATCCAAACTTGTTTGCCAGTTGGATTCTATTGTCCTATTTACTATTTTTTCCTGTTTAATACAGGCCCCTTCACTGAAAAGACCAATGAAAATTGGTAAACTGGATGATGGACTATACAGACTTGTGCAGTCTTCCCATTCTCTTCAATCTCATGCAACTGCATGTCAATCTAGTTCTATGAGTGATCTTTTACTTTTTGAAAATGTTCCCTATAAATAACATCCGCCATTAGTTGTTGATTCTGTTTCTTCTTCTCATTATACATATCATTCTGAATTGAATAAAATGGAGATGTTGTGGCATAATAGACTGGGACACACCTTTTGTTAGAATGAGAGAAATTCCTTATATACCTTGTAAATTATCTTCTAAACAACCCTTTACCTGTATTGTCTGCCCATTAGCAAGGCAGCCCAGGCTACCTTTTTTTGATAGTTCTATTAAAACTACACATGATTTTCAACTCATACATGTGGATACCTAGTGCCCTTATGGAAGCCCTACCTATAATGGGTGTAAGTATTTTCTAAGCATAGTTGATGACTTTACTAGAGTTACTTGGACTCACCTTATGGGATTCAAGAGAAATGATTTTCCTCTTATCAAGGCTTTCATTGCCATGGTCAAAATACAGTTCAAATCATTTGTACAAATTATTAGAAGTGATAATGCCTTTGAGCTTGGCTCCAGTAACTATGGCAATGAATTCTTTATTGAAAATGGAATAATTCACCAAACTTCTTGTCCTCACACACCACAACAAAATGGTGTGATTGAAAGAAAACATAGGTATCTTTTAGAAACCTTAAGAGCCCTACTTTTCCATTCTCACTTACCTATTAAATTCCTAGGAGATTGTGTGCTTACTGCTACATACCTTATCAACAGGTTCCCTTCTAAGCTTCTTAACAATAAAACACCCTTTGAACTACTGTTTGGGCAACCTCCTTCTTATAATCATATTAAAACATTTGGTTGTCTATGTTTTACCACAGTTCCTAAGTACCATAGGGACAAGTTTCAGCCTAGAGCTGACCCTTGTGTATTCCTGGGATATCCATTGGCTAAGAAGGGATATAAGCTATACAATTTGAAAACTAAGCTTACTTTGATATCCAGAGATGTAGTTTTCCATGAAATTTTTCCCTTTGCTCCTTCTTTCAAACAACCTAGTGCTCCTCCTCCTCTAAATCCTGTTCCTAGTTGGAGTTTACTAGTTGACAATTCCCTCTATGATCCTCCTTATCCTCATCAATCTCCTGTGCTTTCTCCTTCTACTTCTGTCTCACCGTCTCCTCCTTCTCAAACATCTGCCTCATTCCCTTCTCAACCATCTACCTCCTCACACACTCCACCTGCTCCCAGAAGATCCAGTAGGACTCATATTCCTCCCGCTCACCTGAAACAATATGTTTGTAACCTTCCTCCATCCCTGTTTGGCCTTCATAGTTTAGTTAACACTGTTGAGATTGAGCCTGGCTCATATCAGCAGGCAGCATCCATTCCTGCATGGCAGGAGGCCATGCGGAAAGAATTTGAGGCCTTAGAGGCCAATCATACTTGGTCCATTGTTCAGCTGCCACCTGGTAAGAAACCCATAGATTGGTTGTTAGGGGTGACACCCAGGTTGAGGGTGTGGACTTCAATGAAATATTCTCACCTGATGTCAAATTTTTCACTATTAACTTCAACTTGAGGTCAACAATACCTTTTTGCATAGTGACCTAGATGAGGAGGTCTATATGAGGTTGCCACCTGGGCTACCAGCCACTCCTTTAACTGGTTCTGGTTCATCTTCTTCTCCTTTGGTTTGTCATCTTCAAAAGTCTTTATATGGTTTGAGACATGCTTCAAGGCAGTGGTATGCCAAGTTGTCTCAAGCTTTATGTTCTAGAGGATACTCTTCTTCTCTCAATGACTATTCTCTCTTCTCCAGAATATCTGGTTCTTCCATTGTCTTGTTGGTTGTGTATGTTGATGATATTATTCTCACTGGTAATGACTTGGCTGAAATTACTGCATTAAAGAGTTTTCTGGACAATGAATATAAAATCAAAGACTTGGGAGTTCTCAATTATTTCCTTGGGATTGAAGTTGCATACATTTCTGGTGGACTGTTGTTACATCAGAGAAAATTTATTAAGGACCTTTTTAAACAGTACCATTGTGAGAATTTTACTCCTGTTACTTGTGCCCTTGACCTAACTGTCAAACTCAAAGCAAACATGAGGGATCCTCTTACTTCTCCTAAATCAAATAGGAGTCTGGCGGGCAAGCTCAACTTCCTCACTCACACCAGACCAAACCTGGCTTTTGCTGTACAACACCTAAGTCAATACCTTCAGAAGCCCACCTCCTATCACATGCATGCAGCCCTGCATATACTCAGGTATCTTCGAGGGTCTTCTGAAATTGGAGTTTTCATCAGCAACTCCCCTGATCTTTCACTTTCTCCATATTATGATAGTGACTAGGCTGCTTGCCCAGACATAAGGAGATCAGTTACTAGTTACTGGGTTCTGCATTCTCTTGGGGTGGTCTTTTATTGGTTGGAAAGCTAAGAAGCAGCATGTTGTCTCTCTCTCTCTCTTCTGCTAAGGCTGAGTATAGAGCAATTAGTAAGGTTGTAGCTGAACTCACTTGGCTGGTCAAGTTACTTTCTGACTTTGGTATTTCTGTTTCTGCTGTTATTCCTGTCTTCTGTGATAATCAAGCAGCCATCCACATTGCCAAGAATCCTGTATTTCATGAGAGGACAAAACATATTGAAGTAGACTATCATTTTATTCGATCAAAGCTTCATGAAAGGTTGATTGCCTTGAATCATGTTCCTACTAATTCTCGGCTGGCTGATGTTTTTACCAAGCCCTTGACATGCCTGGTTCATCATTCATTACTGTTGAAGCTGGGGTTCAGTCACCCTCCACCTTAAAGGGGGTGTTGGAGTTGAGCACAAGCCCAATCTGTTGCTGATGCTAAGGCACACCCTACATAACATGCTCATTTGATTTATTTATTTGTGAAAAGCCCACTTATAATAGCGAGTCTCATTCTTTGTAATAGGCATACTAGTACATATTAGTCCATTAGTTACCTGATTCTTTTAAGTAGATAGCTACTTTATATTATTTATGCTTCTAGATGTACAGAATATTTTTCTATTTCAGTCAATCGAATAAGAAAATATCTGCTTCTCTTTTCCTTTCTCTCGTTTCATTTTCCAAACCCTAGCATAAAGTCTTGATAGATTGATGGAATTCAATGTTTTCACAAAAATTCATGGATATTTTTTACTAATACATACTATTAAAATAAATAATACATTGATATATACTACTTCGTATTCTCAAAAATAGTACAAAATAAACATCAATTCAAGAAACTCCAGAGTCACCAATGGAAGCACTTCGCTAATAGCACTCTCATTTTAATTTACATGCCCAAAATGCGATGCTGATTTCTCTTTCCGGTCACTATTTACACTAATTTCACCAAACCTGTCAATGTTCGAGCTGAAAAAGATAAAATCCAAAACTAATTTACAGATTTACAGTGAAAATCACTCAATTTTACTTTTTTGACCGCTTTTGCAAAATTGCTAATTAACGAGGCTGATGCTGAGGAAGCCGGAACCGAACCTGAGACGCCGGAGATCTGACGGCGACGCCGTGCCAGCATATGCCACCTCGGCACAACTCCTCGGAATGATGACGTGGCTGATAAAGCTGCTGAGTAGGATGATGATGATGATGAAGATTACGATTACGTGTCAACGCATACCTAGCCTTACGTGACACGTCATACGTCAGACTCAAAATCAATATAATACCTACTACAGTTGTGGACACAATCAGCACAAAACCTCCGCCGTAGCTCCGCCCAGTCATCAATCCATAAGCCTTCATACCAGCTATCACCAACAGGTACAACGTTGTCAAATTCCCCACTACTCTGTCCGAAATCGCCATTTTTATCACTCAATTTTTGGAAATTATCAGCAGCTCATATACTGATATAATAAAAGGTTAAAAAGGGTATGATATGGAGTGAGAATTACGACTTTTGGTGGGGTGAGAGGGGGAGGAGGAGGGGGGGTGTGGTGTGGGTGGTGTAAGATAATGTTATGGGGTTTTGAGCTTATCTTCTCTTTATTTGTTATTTTTTGGTGTTTTTGAGGAAAGGGAAAGGAAACAATGAATGTGATTCAGTACCCAACTATAGAGACTCATCCATTGGCTGATACTTATGACAGTTCCAAATAATGAAGACGTGTGTTTAATATTAGGTAGTCTTACAATTATCACCTTATGTTACGTGGCCGCACAACATTCCTTATTGCAACTGTTAAGACACCCAATTATGTCGTCATTTCATGTTTTAAACTATATTATTTATTATTATATTGACGAGAAAAATTATAATTTATATTATTTTTTGTATGATTTTTTAATATTTAAAATATTTAATTAAACTAATTCAATTTAAGTTCAGAGTGTATTCAAATTGATTATCGATAAGCAAAACCAATAATATATATTATTGGTTTGAATTAGCTCTCAAAGGTATGACTAAACTGTTAATAAAGTGAATAAAAAACTATGAAGAATTAGAAATCAAATTTAGCAGAAATTAAAAATAATAAGTGATTTATGCTCATTATAAGTTTCAGGTGTCCAAAATTATTAGTAAAGCTCATAAAACATAGTATTAGTTTCTTGGTAATGATCTTATCTTTGTTTTTGGGTATGGGGTCTTAATGGTGACTTTGCTTTTGTGCGACGTTAAAGAATGTATTTATTCTCCTTAAAAAGTGTGCTGGAGTATTTGTTTTTCTGTTTTCTTGCCAAGAAAACTGAATAAAATAGACATGAGATTGGTCATTGGTGATATGTACCTAAATTCTGTCCAACTTTCTTTTTCATTCTTTCTCCTTATATGGGGTTTTCCATTTTTGGCTTTCGTGGTCTGTGCTGGGGCACCATCAAATTATAACAAGCAACAACTCATACATTATGTAGTCGTCAGTATTAGGCAAAAGCTCTGCCATTTTTATTTTGTCCATTAATAATATTTAAAAAATAGTATAACAATAAGAGTTGGGGTCGCATCTTGGAGTTTAAGCTATCAAAATACAAAAATGTAAGATAAGACTGCACACGATAAATTTGATATGTTATGATCGAATACCGTTTATAGCAGAAAACTAGTGCATCGATCTACCTTTTTAAGAAGAAAGACGTGTGAGAATATAGTCACAGTAAGGTATTTTCAAGTAATTTCTTTGTTTATTTAAACTTGAATATCGTAAAATTGTGTGATGGATAATCTTGAAAAAGAAGTGTGTGATATTCCATTGTCTCTTTTCCTTATTCCTTTAGTTCCACATGTCAGCTTAAACAAGTTTTTCTATATCTGAAAGCATGTTTTATTCTGTTCTATTCGTTAAACTAAAAGGTAATGTATGAGTCCTTATGTTCTCGTAACAATAACAAGTAAAGTACTATACAAATCAATTGCACAAATCAATTTTATTGAAGTGGGATCAATGGACTACTGCCTTATTAGATACTATATATAAAATATACCGTAAGAACGGTCGAATTATTTTCTTGTTTCCATTTTTTTACTAATAAAGTCATTATAGTCATGGCAGAAAGCAAGGAACACAAAAAGAACAAATTGATCAGAAGCCCTTAGCCTCTTAAAATTTCTTTTTTTCCCTTGAGGGGCCATTTGAAAATAACACAAATTGATATATTTCTAGAATTTGATTTTCTTTACTCAGACCTGCAACAGCAATTGAATCGTTAAACGCTACTAAAGCGTTACATTTCTAGACACAAGCTACACTCAGCTAATTTACTTGACATTAAAGGGAATACAATTGTTCTACAACAAGTTATAACAAATATATTCTTAGATCTTGAAAGTTTTGACCTACTTTCATCTAACTTACTTTTACATGAAGTTGTCCAGATTGAAGGATATCGTTATCTAATAACGAGCAGCATGAAACTGGGGGGTTTAATTTATGTGATACAGATTATAAACAAGATGTATCATTGTCGTAAAAAGAGAAAAATGAGGGCTAGTTCAGGATTTATGCCTCTTCCAGGAATCACGATGATTCAGCTGAAGCATTGGACCGAGCTTTCTCATACAAGCGGTATATCAATGTAGACTTGGACATTTGGGGTTCCCTTTCTAGGACAGCGATCACATCCTTTACAGTAATACTGCGAGCAATCCTAGTCTGAGTTATCACTTGATTTCTCCCAGCTCTTCTCGCAGCACCTACAGAAAAGAGAGTAGTCCAAAGAAATTAACAGAAATTCCCAAAGGTTGCAGCAGCTAATGGTTAGGGGACAGGCTAAACCTGAGTAACACACTAAATAAGAAATATCAACCATATGTCCTGTATAAAAAGAGGAACAGTAATATCACGTTCCAGGATCACAAAAATAATTACTATTGCACCTCAATCCCAAGCAAACTATGGGTGCCGTTGAACCAAGTAGGTTTGGCCTAGATCCTATATATGTGTTAAGAAATCCACCTTGGCTACATCCGGGGTGGATCCACAGTATAAGCTATCGGTTCGACCAAACCTAGTAGTTATTGCCTAGACCCTACATATGTGTTAGGAAATTTATCACGTTAAATGCTAGGGTACTCTTTGCTGATCTAAATACCCAGACATCTCTTTCTATTATTTTCAACACCCT